AAAAAATTGCAATACACCTCCTGTTCTGAATGAGATAGCTTTGGGCCTTCGGCCTCCAAGATATGGTATCATTATATAAGTGCTGCAGAAGGGAATTAAGTAAGAAATTAAAGTGTAAAAATGGTCATTTATCCACATGTACACATCCCACCATGTGTGCTGGGGCAAATACCTGAAGCATGTGTAAAACAACAACTCCATTTAGTAGTACATGCTACAAGTAGTATGTGCTAGAAGCATTCCCAGCCTGGGACCTGCCAGACCCTGAGTAATATGTGTCACCTCACATTCCCAGCTTGGAAGGAAGGATACCAATCTGTTTCACACAGGTATGATGAAAAATGCCAAGGAAATGCCAAGCAGACACCCTGAGTCAGCTGGGGGATCCAGATTCCAGCAGGAAGCAACAAACCAAGATGGGTTTTTAAGTATTTAAAGTGAAAAGGGGAGGGAAAAAAAAATACCAGGAGGTAATTCCAGCCCTGAGCAGGTGCCTGAGCATTGAGGCTTTGCTGATGACAATCTTCCCTATCAAGCCATCATCTGCCCAGCATGGCCAGTTTGCCCAGTTCCCAAGGGACACGCTGCTTCCTACGGATTGAATTTGTTCCTGCCTGCTAATCCCTGGAGCTGCTAATTACACCCATTATCAGTTTGTCCAGCATCCAGATCTGGCACACTGTAAAATGTCAAGCCATCAGGTTTACAGACTGGTTTGGATTAGCAGGGATCTTAAAGCCCATCCCATTCCACCTCCTGCCATGGGCAGGGACACCTTCCACGCTCCCAGGGTGCTCCAAGTCCTGTCCAACCTGACCTTGGACACTTCCAGGGATCCAGGGGCAGCCACAGCTTCTCTGGACACCCTGTGCCAGGGCCTTGCCACCCTCACAGGGAAGGATTTCGTCCTTAAATCTAAGTCAAATTTCCCCTCTTTCAGTTTGAATCCATTGCTCCTTGTCCTGTCACAACAGTTCCTGATGAAGGAATGCTTAGGAATGGGATGATGCAAAATGTGCTGCTTTAATACTGCAGATTTTTATGTTTATTTGGGAGAAACAATGGATTTTCAAGGACTCCGGAACACGGTCTCTATGGCAACTATATGCAGAACCAAGGGGAGGGAGGGGAAGTTCCCATATTTCCAAATACTGAGAACTGAGTGATTTGAACTCCATTTTCCAGAGATTATTAAACCAAAAACTGCAGGTGCAATGCACTGCCCAGGTTCATACAGGGATGCAAACAAGGAGTAGTCTCAGACACATCATTCCCATGGAGTTTTAGGAAATCCTACTCAGACACATCTGCTAAAAATGCAGAAATGTGCCTTAATATTCAACTCGGAAGAATTATTACCTCCGTGCTTGTTCCTACATATATGGCAGCCAAAATCTGGAAAGCCACAGGGAAACCCTGGTCCTTCCTAAGGAGAACATTTGGCCTCAAGCACGGCTCAGCAACACCCCAAGGAGAGCTCTGAGCTCATCTCAGCATCAGGCTGAGCCTTAATCACTTTAAGTCAGATCCCACCACTGGTTTATTTCCATTGCTCTTTCAAATTCAATTATTAAAAAAGGAAAACAAGACAAACCTAATTATGCTGGGCTGAGAGGCCCAGCTCAATGTCAGAGTCACTGCAACTTCTCCCACCAAGAGCCAGACCTCAAACGTCACCACAGGCTCAGCAAAAAGCAGATTAGAGATCACTTATTGTTATCACCAACAAAACATGGACTGAGACAAAGCCAGTGGTGTGGAAGAAGCAAAGTGGTCATGCTGAAGAAATTGTCCTTTCCCTAGTGCAGGTGATTCTGCCTTGATTCTCCCTCTAAATCATCAGCACAGAGGAGAAATGGTTCAAAAAGCCACGTTTTGTCACTTCCAGACCAATGAGATCTCTTCCATCCACCATGGGCACATCAGAAGTCTTCAAAACCCTTATTTTTCCCTTTTGAGGCAGCAGCAGATGCCAATTTCAATATTTCTCTGTCAACTTCCTGACCTACAGAGCAGGATTTTAAAGTTTTCAGGATGTTCCATCACAGAATCCTCTTCCATTTGAGGAGTATTTTGTGACTCCATAGGAAGGTGTCTGCTCCAAGGGATCCCTCCTGTCTTACTGGCATCAAGAATTTCATGGGAGGGGAATAAAATAAAATTATCCACTTGCCCAACAGCCATCTTCTACTTTCCAGCTATATCATTATCTCCAGCCATTAATTCTGATTGGATTTATATTCCCTACACAGCCCCACAAACACAACTAATGGCTGGTGATACAACTAATGGCTGGTATATTCCATTAGGATCCTCTCCAGACAATTTGTTCCTCCAAGGACAAGCCCTGCAAAGCTGCCAGTGGAACCTGGGAGCAGCTGAGCAGTTCTGTGTCATGCTGGTATTTCACATGCCTATGTGTGGTTTGAGATGAGAAAAGCCACAAAAAGTCATGCACTGAACAATTATAACCTCAAAAAGAAACAAATAATCCATTTTTTTTGCACAGTTACTCACAGGAGGAATGGCAGAACAAAGCAATCCTATTAAGAGATAAAAAGAAAGGGCCCAGTAAACAATTCCCAACCACACTGGCAGAGCCAACATCCAGAAAAATGAACTTTCACTGCTGCTTTCCTGAGTCACTCAGCTAAGCCCAAAACCTTTTTGTGCTTTATTTTAACTTGGTGTTCACCACCACCTGCAACTGTGCAGAATGTGACAAAAACTCAGCAGCTCCCATCTTGTCAGCCACAAGCCACCAGCAGCCTGACTCTTCACACATGGCTCCAGGAGCTGCCTAAACTGAAGCTCTAAGCAGTTTCTAATCATACCGATTTCAGTTACCCACCAGCCCAAAAATATTAAGTGGGGGAGACTACAGGGAGCAAGCTAGAGGAGAACACAGACATTTAATTCTTGTTCCTATGCCCTGCAAAGGCTTAAACTGGGGCACTTCAAATCCTCAGTGAGTTTCTGTTCCAACACATCCTCGGAGAAGGGCTGAGATTATCACAAAAACCTCAGGAAAACAAAATGAAAACAAACAAACCCAGACTTTAAAAGTCGAGTGAAAATGTGCCTGTGAGCTTGCCCAAGAGGACATTCCTGGCCCTGGGAGTGGTGCACTGATGACCTCACCAAGCTGCAAACTCAGGCCAGGAAGTGTTTTGCTCGTGTCTTCAGAATAGGAAGCTGGCATCCCAGGGATATTCCTCGGAATCGATCACCAAATGAAACCCAGCAGCATAAATTCCCTCCCCGTCACAACACAGTGTTTTGGTTTAATGAAGCATTTTACGAAGCTGTCAGATTTGGACGTGGCCACCACGATGTCACCGAGGGCAGAGCTCGACACCCTGTGCTGCATCACCCAGGGAAAAGCTGATATTTCTCCCTTCTTCACATTCCTCCTCACTGCCATTAAACTGAACCCCTGCCTTTCGCTTGGAGTGAATCCCAGAAGTGACAGATGCAATAAGCATGAAGATTTCACTTGAAAAAATCCAATGATGTTTGAAAAGACAGCTCAGGAGAAGACAGAGCAATGCCAACAGAGAACACAAATGCTGATTAAAGCAATCTGGATAAAAGGCTACAAGTGACCATCGAAAAATTACTATTATGAAGTGCTGTACTGAAACAAACACCAAGCAAATGCTCCCTGGCGTGTCCCTGAGTGTGTCAGGTCTTACTGGGGCTACCGAAAACACAGAAAAACACATATACCCAAAATAAACAGGCATTGCCACAAAAGTATTTGATCTTCTACCTCTGTGTACACAGTCCTTAGCAAACACCACTATTAGCTGCAATAAAACCTTCCTGTAAGCACACAGCCATCTGGATTTTTCCCCCCCCTTGAGCAGAAAAGATGATTCAACGCTCGTTATTCAAATGAAAATGGAATAAACCCTCTCCTGCCTCCCGCACACGACACCCGCTGCTTTCCCCACATCCAAACACGCTTCTCCCAGGACATGCTGTGCCAGTTCACACCATTTTCCCACACTCCAGAGCTTCCCTCACGCGTGCCATGGAGGCACACAGAGGGACAGCATAGCACCAGGTTATTTGGGAACAGCCTGGCCTAAAATTAAAACAAAATCGGGAAATTCAGCAGCGAACTGAAAAATCAGCCGCAGCCTGGTGTGTTTAGAACATCCCTCTCTGAATTTTGCCACCGTCCTTGGTCTTGCTCCAGTAATCCCCACGCACATCTGCACGAACAGACGTGCTCAGACCAACTCCAGCTGCTGAAAAAACCCCAACCTTAATGCATCTCACTTATCTTCAACAATAAAACTGCTTCCATCGGGTTCACTTTTGTTTCCTGGCACCTTTCACTGCCTTTTTTTATTTTCTGCTTTTTTCAGACCTCTCTCCTGTGCAATCAGTCAGTTAAGGCATAACAATGTCCTACAGCTGAACCTCTGTGTGGTGGTGTTGGACACCTGCCCATGTGTCCAAGATCTTCCCTCGTGCTGTTAAAGGAATCAGTGGGAATTTCATAAAGCACAGCCTTTCAATTTCAGCCTTTGGCATATCACTCTTAAACAACGTGGCTTCCTGCATAGGAAAACAAAGCCCAGGGACATCAGCCCACGGCAAAAGGATAGAATGAGATGGTCCTTAAGGTCCTTTCCAACCCAAACCACCCTGGGATCGCCTGGTGATTCAATGACATGTCACACAGCACACGAGTCTACACATCTGCACAGCCTCGAACGAGCCCCTAACAACGGCGTGACAAGGACCTGTTCTAGAGGAGCCTGCGGAAAATAAACCCAAACTAAACCCCCATCAGAGCGCTCATCTTTTGTCCTCTGCCATGGTGCACGGCGGGGACGGGCGCTCCGGGGGCGGCACACGCCGGTGGCACCGAGCGGCTGCCGCATCGCCGGGCAGAAAATAAAAATGGGGGAAAAAAAAAAAAAAAAAAAAAAAAAAAAGAAAATGTGCCGAACAAAAGCCCCCCCAGCGCTGTCCCCTCCGCGGCATCAGGTGCCCGGCGCCGCCGCCCCGCCCCGGGCTTGCCCTGCCCGGCGGCCCCGGCCGGATGCGGATGCGGCGGCGACCCCGCGCCGCTGCCTAATAAGGAGGAGCGGGGAGCGGCCGGGGCCGAGGCGGTGCGGGGAGGGCGCTGCCGCCGCGGGCCCCGCGCTGACAGCGGCCGCCGCCTCACGGAGAGCTCGGCGGCCCCGCGCGGGAAGGGCCCGCCCGGCCGGACCCCCCGCCCTGCCCGCGGGCACCGCGCCGCCCGCCCAGCCGCAGCCTCGCTCGCCGGTGCTGCTACCCAGTTCTCCCCGGTCGCCCTCACCGCCCCCGAGCCGCACCGCGATCCCGAGCCGCCTCCCGCGTCCGCTCCTCAGCCCGGCGGAACCGCCGCCTCCGCCTCCTCCTCCGCCCGCCGCCGCCGCCCGACTGAGCGCCGCGGGGCGGGGCGGGGCACAGCGGCCGCGGGCCACGCCCAGCGCTGGACACGCCCACAAAAGGTTCCCGCCCCCTCCGGGCTGGCCCCGCCCGCTCCAGCCTCGCTCGGCGGGGCGGGTGGAGCAGTGAGTGACGGCTCCGCCAGCCAATGGCCGCGCGGTTCTCCCCGCCACCAGCGGTCGCGCGCTCCCGGGCCCCGCCCCGCCGCCCCTCAGCGGCGAGTGAGGGCGGGAGGTGATGAGGGAGCTGAGGGGTCGGTCGTGACCGCCCTGGGGACTGGTCATGTCCACTCCGAGGGTCTCGTCATGTCCTCTCTGTGCACCAGTCCTGTCCGCTCCGAGGGAGCGGTCATGTCATCCCTGGGGATCAGTCATCTCATGCCTGAGGGATCGGCCGTGTCTGCCCTGAGGGATCGATCATGTTATCCCTGAGGCACGGATCGTCTCATCCCTGAGAGAGCGATCCCTGAGGGACCGGTCATATCGTCCCTGAGGGACTGATCCTGTCTTCTCTGAGGGATCGGCCGTGTCTGCCCTGAGGGATTGATCATGTTATCCCTGAGGCACGGATCGTCTCATCCCTGAGGGACCGATCCCTGAGGGAACGGCCATGTCCTCCCTGAGGGGACGATAGTGTCCTCCCTGAGGGACCGGTCATGACATCCCTGCGGGATTGGTCGTGTCCTCCCTGAGGGAACAGTCATGTCCTCCCTGAGGGAACAATCATGTCCTCCCTGAGGGACTGATCGTGTCCTTCCTGAGGGACCAGTCATGACATCCCTGAGGGGCCGATTGTGTTCTCCCTGAGGGACCGGTCATGTCCTCCCTGAGGGACTGACCGTGTCCTCCCTGAGGGATCAGCCATGTCTGCCCTGAGGGTGAGATGATCCTGCTGTCCTCAGAGGCAACGCTGAGGAGAACCCTTAGCTCCACAAGAAAACAACCACATCACCTCACACTGTCACACCAAGTCACAGTGGCTGTGACTTTCCACAGTGGCGGAAAAAGGATGGTGACCAAAGCCCCTGCTAAAGACTGCAGAGCTCAATTCCTGCTAAGAGCCAGACTTCAAGGAGACACGCAGGGCAGAGGTTTGAAACCAGAGGTTCTCCCCATCGCACTGTGGTGATGCAAGTTGGAGATGCTGCGCTTTGAGGGGTAAGGTTTGTAGCTGTGTGTAGCTGTTGTGACGGGTCAGGCGAGCACTTTGCACACACACACCTGGCTGCACACAGGTGACACCGCCACACTCGGGGCCACTGCGGCCTCAGGGAGCCCGAGGGGCGGGTGAACAACACCCGAGCAGAGCCCACAGCCCTCAGTGTTACCATACATGGCCAAAACCAAAACTCCTCGAGCTTCCTCATCCGTTTGGGCCGACCTTTGTACGTTCATTTGCATGTGCGGTTTGGTGCTTAAAGGGGGGTGATGTTTCAGGGGAGCATCACCCTCTTCTAATCCTTCAGAATTTGGAGGAATGTGTGTCGTGATGCGCTGAGCTGGGAGCCCTCCTCTTCCCCCACAGAGCTGTGACAGGACCATGAATTGAGTGATAGCTGGTGTTAAAACCCACGGAAAACCTCGGGGAGATACATTTGTCCTGGTCTGACTGTCACAGCTGATGGAAACATCAGTAGCTACAGATTAAACAAATGTTATCCTGCATTTATTAACCTTTGACACTAAAGGTAACTACTGATCCAACAAGCAGGAAAGCCTCTCTCACCTACTGAGCAACACCTTGATAAAAAAATTATACAAACAGAGATTGCAGTGGCAAGGCTGCACCCTTGCCCATGACAACAATTACCCTGAAATTAATCAATAGCTTCTTTCTGAAAGCCAGCCCAGCACAATTACACCACCCTGCTCCCTCAAACAATCCCTTTAAAGCTAAGAGAGAAGAAAAGGAAAGAAGCCTTGGAGCAGAGCTGCAGGTAACACGGAGTTTAGGAAATTTAGGTTGTGATTCACATTTTCCATGTACGTACATGATGTGCTGGAGGTCACAGAATGAGTCAGTGATAGAGCTGAAAGTCCTGTTTGCCCATCCTTAATTTATTAGAAGTCTCAAAACTGTGTGTGTGTGGGATTAAATTTTATAAAACTGATATTTTATTCGTGTACCAAGCAATGCTTTAGCCTGGACTAGAAAACAAGAACGAAGGCAGCAGCACCCAGTACTGCCCACCAGCTCAGAAGGGGAACCAAAGAAGATTTTTGGCCTCCAACTGAAAAGAAAGTGACACACAGAGGACACAAAAGTGAAATTTGTCCTGAGAAATCTGATTGAAGCCTAATCCTCTCAAGAGCTGCCTTGGGAAGGGTGGATCCTGCAGAGATGGAAATTCCTTGCTTGACACAGTGCTGGAAGAGTAGCTAAAGATGGATGCAGGTGGAAATAATACCTGTGGAATTTTTACCAGAGCTTCCTAGAACAGCTGGATGGAAACACTCCAAAGAACACCCAGATCCTGTCTGGGATTAATGAGCTGTTTAGATCACCAAGTGATGAAGAAATTACAGGAATTTTAGGCTGAATTCTCCAACAAACAGAAGAAACAGCTCAGGTTTTACATGTGCTCTTTGGTCCTGCTGTAACCACTAATTTTCATCACTTCAGATGAGTAAAACCACCCTAACAAACAATTTAAATGTTATCCACAGTGCTGCAAGTGAAACAACTTGTCAAAATATGCCACAAATCCTAATTTTTCTGTAGAAAAAACACCAAACCCTTACAGCTACAAGGAAAAACACACCAAAATTTGCCCCATTTTACCAGCACCTGTTTAGCACATATTGCAGAAATTTAGGTTTTATATTAAAAAATCCACTTTTAGCTATCCCACACATTTTTCCCCTCAGCTACATCACTGCAGGATTGCTGCAAACTATCTCACATCCTTTATACGGAAACAGCACCGTAGCTATAGACTCCACCTCTGAAACTTATGTCAGCTGCTAAATTTAGCCTCCTGCAAATATGCATCAATTCCATCCCTGCAAGAAATCCCTCTGCTTTGCTCCTGGGATGAGCTTGAGTTGATTCACAAGGACCACATCAGGTGTGTCCCACAGCCTTCCCCACCAAGGCCATGTTTGTAGCTGGAGGAGGCAAAGAAACACCTGAGGCACCTTTTTTAAGGGAGAAATTTTTATTAATTTATTCAGTTTGGTGTCTCTAAGCCATCCCAAAGGGGTGACAAACCCCATTTTTTTTGGAATCAGTAAGGTCATTGGAGGGATGGATTTGCCTCAAACATTTCGTTTTGCTGAAATCCTCATCGCTAAATATATTCTGAATTGAGAGAAATGGCTTAGGGAGGGTTTAGAGAGATCAGCAATTTAAAGTCCTGTTATTTTGCAGCTTAACTTCTAAATCGAGCAAAATATGCCAGACAGGACAGTCTTGGACCCTGGGTTTGCACATGTCCAAGTTATACAGCTTTTCAAGGACTTTTATGTCCCTATTTATCCATTTATTTCCTGATGCCTTTTGATTTATTATTATTATTACTTTATAATAATATTTATTTACCAGGAGGTACTAGGTTCTCCCACATGATACTTGAATCTTTTCATGTTTCTTCTTCTATGGCTTCCATAATTTATGGATCCCATCAAGGCCAGGCCCAGCAGCACTGGAAAGAGCTGCTCCTGCTGAAATCAGGAACGTGATCTTACCTTTCACTGAACGTTATTGGATTTAGTGATTTTTAGTGCAGGGAAATGTTCCCTGCCCATAGCAGGGGGTTGGAATAAGATGGTCTTTAAAGTCTCTTCCAACCCAAACCATTCTGGGATTCTCTGAAATCTGAATTTCAGAGAATTTGCAGTGACAAACCCTCCCCAATCCACTTTCCCTGTGTGGAATTAGATTTACTCTCAGCATTAATTTACTTTCTCTGCCTTCATTCCTCCACGTCCGTGGGCAGGGACAGCTTTGTGAAACTATTCCCAATCCTGGTTTTTAAGAGACATTTCCATGCCCATCAACTGTTGAGCAGCTGCCAAGATGAAATTGTTCTCAGCACCACCACGAAAGGGGTCTGGATAATGGAAAATCGATTCTGTGTCTGGCTGGGAGGATGTGCTGTGCCCAGGGAAGTGTTCCCCAGCTCCTGCAAAGGGTTTGTCTGGAGAGACAGGGAGAGCAAAATCCCTTTGGGCTGGCCTTATTCAATCCTTGGCCAGAAAGGGGAGCTGTAGAATTAGGGAATGAAGATAAGGAGAGCAAAATGTTCCATCAGATGCTTTAAAACAACAGCCAGGAAGGGAGAAGTGCCTCAGTGTCGCAGCAAGGAAAGAGGAAAACATGGATTAAAGGACAGCGTTGGGAGCCAGCAGCCCTGAGCTTTATTCCCAGCTCTGTGTGACATGGAACCATCTCTGTGCTACTTCCAGACCCCAGAATTGGGGTCATTCACAACTGCCCTCCCCAAAGGGCAATAAAATCCACTGTGGGGAGCGAGGGCCCATGCTGACATCGCTCCTGTGCTGCTTGGAAAGGCTGGAGGATGCTGGAGCTGGGTAAGGAGTGAGTGAACATTAGGCCAGGATGTGCATTAATAATTGATGCTATTGTTATTAATGATTTACAATAGATTTCATCCAGCACATCTATTACTGCATCTCCCCACTCTCACACCTTTTATGCAGCAATATCGGTGTCAGACACATCCCTCCCAACTCAGCTGGAAAAAAGGCATCAAAAAATGAGCTTTTACAGCAAAAAGAAACCTCTAATTTCAAGCTAATCTATTTCCTCATGTATTTTTCTCCATCATTAGACAGGATTGTGAAATATATTTTAATTTCTTTCCTATTTCTGCAGTGAAGGGGAGGTAGGTCCCAATACCTAATTAAAATGTTGGGCCTCCAAATAAACCCAAAGCAATTGCTTGCAACAGATGGGATTTCCTTTGTTGCTGTCTCCGAATGATTAACGAGGAGGAGAGAGACAAGAAAGCAGAACTGGAAAAAAAAAAAAAAAAAAAAGGAAAAAAAAAGCAAGCAAGCAAGCTGTATTTTATTTACAACATGAATATTCTGGGATTGACAATTCCTATCATCCTGAGCAGCAGTAAAAAATCAGGCAGGCAGGGAAGAAGCCGGGGCTGGGTGTTGGGTTCCTGGGCAATGATCCCAGAGCCTCACTATTCAACCAGTTGGGAATTCTTATGCCATCTCCTTCTGTTTCTCTCCCTGCTGTCTAGGATCAGGTTGGACCAAAGGTGCTGGAAAAATCAGAGATATAAGAAAGGAAACACATAAGGGTAAATCCAGGTGAGGTGTCCGTGTTTGAGATTTGGGAAGATCAGTGTCTGACCCAGCTTTTAAAACCCCAACAGACTGCCGTGGACAGAGCAAAATGAGAAGCTGCTCTTGCTCTTCTTCCTGCTCGAGTGGAAGATGTCCCTGCCCATGCAGGGGTTGGACAAGACGGGCTTTGAGGTCCCTCCCAGCCTGAACAATTCCGTGAGTCTGTGATTTTTTTATTGCAACATTTCCACCCTTCAGCACTGAAATATTGTCTCAACACTCCCTCCCTGTTTCTTCTGGGGAACGAGGAGGTAAAAATGTGTCAGGAGGGATTGGGATGCAGCTGGCATTGCCTTGGGGAGGGAGCTGGTTCCTTGTATCCCTTCTCACCCCCTTCTGCTAGACCTGTTCCCCCCACCTGCTCCTTCCATCCCGGGAAGGATGAGCTGATCAAACATCCCAGTGCCGGGTGTGGCTGTGGGGAACGCTCCAGCTCAGCTGTACCAGTGACACCAGCCAGCCTCCCTCAGACACCACCACAGAGCCTGGCAGTGCTTGCAGTGACAAATACCTCCCACCACTATTTCTTTACATCGTGCAATGTGTCCTCAGCTGCTTCCTGAGAGCACAGGAGCTGTTTGTCATCCCTGCAGGGGTTTTGTCATCCCTGACACGCACAAACTGTGCCATGTTCGCTCCCCGACTCTGTCGCGACAGTAACAGATCACACCTATTTTTTAAGCAAACTCAGTTCAAAGCCACCACAGATTTCCTGTGCCTTAAAACACTTATTTTTCCTTATAAGGAAATGCACAATTGCAGATTGTCACTGAACAGAAGATGGGAGTTAAGCAGCGTGGGTCGGGTGGCTCCTTGCGGCATCCAAACTCTCACACAAACACTCATTTCTATCCCTCCTATTTTTGCAGAACTGCTGTTTTACCAGGAAAATTTCAACAGAGTTCACTTCTCCACATTTTTTTTTCAGTGAAAGGGTTTCCAAGTTGATGTCATTCTCCTGAATGGCTTTTTCAGTGAAGTCACGGTGCAGGAGAAAAACTTAGAGAAAATAATGCTGCTTTTTTTAATAGCTAAAATAAAATTGGCTCACCCAGTGCCTGGAGAGATAGAGGCAAATAATCCCACATGGCAGTGGGAGGATGCACCCTATGGATACTGCTGCACATTAGCTGCTGTGAGAAGCAGCAAATTGTACTTATTCCTACACAGGGGTCTGACAAAACAAATCTTTCCCCAAAACAGTTTCACTGCACGAAGGGCTTTGAACCAACACCTGATTCCCATCCTGCCCCCTCAGACTCCGTGTTCCCTGAGTGCATCCCGTCTGTCACCCGGCTATTCCCGGCAGCTATTTCCCATCCACGGCAGAATTCCCACCTGCCCTGGAACTGCGACCTCCAGGACCCCTCAGCCCCACGGCAGAGCCGGGACCCCTCACTCCTCACCTTTTTTGGGCGCTGGTGCTGCTGCCGTCCCCTCCGACGCCTTGGGCTTTTCGAAGGTTTTCTTGGCATCGGCAACTTTAAGCACATTCTCATCCTCCTGACTCTGCCTCCCCTTCCGCTCCGGCTCCTCCGAGCCCCCTCCTCCCGCAGTCCTGCCTCCAGGGAGCAGCTCGGTGCCCACCGCTGCCCACTGCTCCCTGCCAGCCTTGGCCTCATCGCCGAGGGGCTCCAGCAGCGCCTCGGTCAGCGCCACAGCCTTGCTCATACTCAGAGCCAGGCTCTCCTTGCTGTGGGTCCTGACAGGGGGTGCCGGGGGGGTTCTTTTCGGGATGTAGGAATCCAGTTCATCAGCTTCACCTCCGAGCTGCTCCCGGCTGTCTGGGAGCTGGCTGCTGCTCTGTCTTGAAAGCTTCCCGGTGTCTCTGGCCACCGAGGGATAATTTGTGACCGCAGGGACCATTCTCTCGAGGCTTTTCACTACCGGCTGGTCTGGCTCGGGCTTCCTGGCCGGATCCTCCTCGCTGGCCTGGCCGTTCTGGCACAGGTCAAGTGTTCCATCGGGCTGGGGGGTAAAGCTCCGTGCCTGTCTCAGGCTGTCCCTGCTGCTGTCCCTGGGGATGTAGGAGACAGGTGTGCCTGCCTCCTGCTTGCTTTGCAGGATGTAATCCATGAGGATGGCGTTGCGCTCGAAGCTGTCGGACCTGACGGGCACGGTTGGTTTGTTCCCCTCCGAGGGGCCCTTGGGGCTCAGTTTGGTCACTTGCCTGCCCTCCACGCTGCTTTCCGAGTCCGAGCGGCTCATCTGCCTCCTCAGGACTCTTTCCAAGGAGTTGAGCCTGCTGAGGCTGGGGCTTGCCACCTTCCCATCCCCTGCATAGCCCTCCTGAATCAAGGGTAGCGTGTCCTCTGCCTCTTCCCATTCCTCCTCAGGTTCCGTTTCTGCCTCCTGGATGAGGCGCCGGTACTCGCTCTCCTCCAGCCTGTAGACCACCGGCCTCACCGTCCTGCCCGTGCCCACCCGCCTGGGCACCACCTCCAGCTCGTACACCTTTGGAGGGGCTTCTCCCTCCCGCCCTCTCCTGCACCCTTTGGACACGGGATGCTCTTCCCGGCACAGCTCCCCTGCCGGCCCCCACTGCCCTCTCTGCCCGCTGCTGCTCATCTCTGACCTCTTGGCAGGGCCTGCAGTGTCGCTCCGGAGGTCGGGGCGGTCCCCCCGCTCCCGGCTGTGTCCCAGGCCCTCCTGGCTGAGCTGCAGCAGTGGATAATCCTCACAGGTGCCTGCAGAGTCTCCTGGGGAAGCTGGGCAGTCTCTGCCCCTCGCCTTACTTGTGTCATCCCGTAAATATCCACGGTACTGCCAGGTGGAGGCTTCCATGGCCGGGAGCTCTGTCACTATAATTCTTGGTTCCAAATGCTTTGGGACTGGCCAGCCAAGATTTTTCCCACCTTGGGTCTCGGCGGGCTTTCAGCACCGCCTCCTCCTCGCTCTGCTCTGGGAGACGGCGGCACTTGGAAGCGTCGGAGCCTGGGTCATGTGAACCGGCGTTCCTTGGCCTCATGGCCAGCAGAGAGGAACATCCCATTGGCACGACGGAGCCGTGCTCTGCCACTCCTGACACCACACCCGGCACAGCTGATGCCACGCTGGTCCCTACCCAAACACATCCCACCTGGATAACTGCAAAAACGCCCTCCAGCTGCTAATTTGCTGGTCCATGGCACTTCACAGTCAGGACTCGCTTCCCATCGGCATCCTTCTCTGGGGATTCTCCTCTTTCCCCAACCTGCTCCAGCAACAGCTCCCCACAGTCCTGTGCAGCAATCCCGGCTTGCCTCCAGCTTCGCTGCTTCCAGAGGGATTTACTGCCAGGCTGTCTGGGCAGAATCACCTCTGCCAGCTCCTTGTGGGTTCCAGGGAGAGATGGAAACCTGCATTTGTGCCCTTGGCACTGTTCCCTCCTCCCTGCCCCGTGCCCATCGGGTGCGGAGCGGCTCCCCTGGTGCTCCTTCCTTGGAAGCAGCACTCAGCCTTGGGCTGCGTCCCAGACTTTGAGGGAGAGATGCTGCCTGCACAGAGCGCACAGGGCAGAGCCGGAGCGGCTGGAATGATCTGGGAACACGTTATGGAAAAGGGAATTGCTGTGACAGAGACCGGCTGCCCGAGATAAACACGGGAGCCCGACAGCAGCCTCAGACACAACTTTCCCTGTGCAAACTCCGAAACACAACTTATCAAAAATCCCTATTAGCACATTGGGCACTTCCCTAAATAACCTCCGAGCAGAACGTTGCTCCCTTTGGATAACGCTCCGGATGGCAGTGGAGCCGGAGAGCTGGAGGGCTCTAATCCGTTTGTACACAGCCGGGATGCCTGGCATTGCAGTGAGCCGCAGCTCCCAGCTCAGCTCCCAGCCCAGCCACTGCCCCTGTGCTTTGCCTTTTATGGTTCCCCCAGCCGGGCAGCATCCCGAGGCAGGATGCAGGAAAACACCTAGATCATCCCAAAAGGTGCCTGCACAGGCACCTCTGCGGTGTCAGGGCTGAGTTACCCCAGTGTCGCCTAAAGAATTGGCAAACACAGCCTGGCCCCAGCCCAAAGGCATCTCCTGATATTCCATGAGGCTGGAAAATCTTGCAGGGCCTCATCCAGAGACCTCAAGGACCCAGACAACCTCTGAGCACCACAGGCACACAGCAGCTGCGTGGGTGACACCTGGACCACGGTCATGATGCCACCAGCTCATCCTGTGTCCCATGGCAGGAGTGAATCCTGGTCACTGCTGAGGGGAAGGAGTGAGGGATGAGGGTTATCCCAGCCCTTATCGGCCTGGAGCCAGCCAGGCCCTCGCTGGGACTGTTCTTTATCAGTGCAGCTCTGCACAGACAAAACCCCGTTTGTTTCCACTGGAAGTCTTAAATCCCTGCCGAGGCTGCCCAGAGCAAACACAACCAATTCCCAGCGGGATCAATGCTGGTGGCCGGGCCCCTGCTGCTCCTGCTGCTCCTGCCAACAGCAGGAGAACCTGGCAGCAGCAGTCCTGACAGGTACAGAAATGCTGAGCAAGGTGTGCTGGCAGGTGCAGGAGTGAGGAATTTGACAGCCAAGTTACCTCTCCCATGGGATGAATTCACTCAAAATTTGCACTGTGACCTGATCAATAATTCCAGGTGTTCCCCTCAAGCCCTCGTGACAAAACCAAATTCCTCTGGGCTTCTCACAAACCCTCATCATTTGGGGATATTGTGATGGTTTGGGTTTGTTCTGTGTGGGGACTTCAGAGCCCAGGGCTGGTGTGGAAGAGACACAACCACGTCCTGGGACCTGCCCTGGGCGTTGTACCCCCATGTTCCAGGGAGCTGCTCGGAGCTCTGACATGGCACCAATGGTTCTGCTCCTGAACCCTCTGCATAAAAGGAAATGGCAGCTGCTGCAGCATTGCTGCTGCCCCATCCTTCAAACAGAGGGAGGAAGAGACTTTTAGGGAATACGCGCCGAGGCGGGAGCAAACCTGAGTGGCAGCACAGCTCAGCCTGTGCCCGCTGCAGGAACCGGCTCCTCTGGCCTTGGCAGCACCAACTCACAGCTTCTGCTTAGAAAAATATTTACATTTCCACCATTTCCAGCAGGAATGGACACAGAGGCATCATCCTGGGGCTGCAGGCAGCTGGAGAACCCTGCCAGACAGCAGCTTCTCCTCTGCCAGCGTGGAAATGCAGCCACAGCCCCTGGAGTCCTTCCTGCAGCTTCTCTGTGTGCTAAATCAGCCTCACCCTCCTGCTTTTCACCCCAAACCACCATTAGAGTACCTGCTCACCACCCCAGCTCCACATGGAACGGGGAAATGCTGCCAGGGAACCATCCTCACATCAGAGGGTCCTTGAGGAGATCAGCTTTGGAGCACCTGCAGCTCCTCCGTGGGAGACAGACAAGGGGCACAGCCGGACCCTGCACCTTCCCCCCACCCCAGTTCCCAGCCAGGAGGGCACCCAGTGCCCACGGCAGCTCCAGGCTCAGCATCTCCTCTGGTCAGCGAGGCTATAAATAAACCCTCCCTGCTCGCTGGAGAGAATTTGTGTTGCTCCAGATGTTGCCTGGTTTTGCCATGGCAACATCACAACAGGATGTAACACTGGGCTGTGAGGAACCGCTCCGAAAAGGACCAATTTCCAATCCTAACAAGAACAAAAAAAAAAACAGCCAGGGACTCACAGGCAGCCTGGGCATGCTCCAGCCATTCCATAGCCCAATCTTGTAGTTCCCCATATCCGAATCACAGCCAGGAACGGCTCCGTGGGGAGGCTCCATCTTTGGGAACCTGAAACGAGCAGGGAGCGATGTCTCTGTCCGCTCAGCCAAAGGATGTGTGGGTTAAATGAGCAAACACCAAACACTGACCCCAAAACGGTGTTGGCTGAGGGACAGGCTGTGCTCCAGGGTCTCAAACAACAGCGGGAAGCTGCTCTTCCCAATCCAGAGCTCTGGGGCTCCCAGCTCTGAAGAGAGTTCACCCCGGGCTTTACAAGCCCCATACGGCCCCTGCTCCCTCTTTTTTCCCCAAGGCCTTGTCCCTTTGCCAAGGAATCAGGGCAGGGACAGATCTGCTTCCAGCTCCCAGTGCCTCAGCTCCTGCAGGAGCACCTGGCTGTGCCAGAGCTGCTCCCACTCCTGGAGATCTGGGGAGTTGCTGGGCTTCCACGCCTGGCACATGGTTCAGCACAGGCCTGTGGAATTCCACAGCCCACTTGCTGTGGCAGCATCAAGGTCCTCTCCCAGGTGGGATTTTCCAGGCTCAGCAAGGTGCAGGTGTCACCTTTCCATGTGCCACTGCTCCACTGCTGGCATCCTTTCTGCAAGGTGAGTGGCTTCTTCTGAACCCAGTCTGGGGTCTCTGAAGGAACCAGGTGGAGAATGATCGATTTCCATCCTGTTCCTCTGGATCCAGCCTTCAGGAGCATCAGAAAACAGCCAGGACTCAAAAATGAGAGAAGCAGAGCCAGGATAGATGGAGAATTATAACAGAGCAGGCAGCGGCTCCTGGGTAATATCCTATTCCCTCCATTTCTTTCACCCCTTCAGCGTCTGTTCCTTCTCCACCTCCAAACAAAGCTACAAAACTCATTTGTTAAAGGAAAAAAAAAAAGTTTATTTGTTTTTCCTCACAAGAAGAACATAAAATATCCAGGACATTTTTACAAACAAAAGTAAAAAAAAAAAAAAAAAGTGCATGATGCATCCCTCCCGCGGGCATACAGTACAAAAATCCTGCAGATTTCCATATAAAATTGGGATAAGAAATACCATGGAATAAAGGAACGTTGTTATGGAGTACAGCAATGCACAGAACAGCTACACGTCACTCACCCCTCTCCTCAGGGACTGACCGGGACTGTCCCCACCTCTCCGGCCGGGAGTTGGTGACACGGCCGGGACAAACCCCGGTGGCACGGGAAGGGCGCCCGGGAGGACGGGCACTGCTGCCACACGGAGCGACACTCCCGGAGCGGGAATGAGGCGCCGCTTTGTGCTTTTCAGGATTTCTGGCAGGACGGGACGGGGTTCGGGGCTGCCGAGCAAAGCGTGTCGGTGATGGGATGTGTCCCTGCACACCCCGCCCGCGTTCCGGCAGCGATGCATAGATCAATGGGATCAATGGGATAAATAACTGGGGACAGCGGGCAGCCACAGGCACCGCGGCTGGCACGGAGCCCTTTGCTGCTGCCATGCCCAGAGCAGAGGGAAGCGGTAGCAGGTGAGCAGCGCCGAGCTCGGCGGGGACACGAGGGCAGGACAGGAGGGACGGCCTCACTGCCACCAGAAACACCAAAAGCACCAAAAACTCCCTAAAGAACAGCAAACAGCAGAGTCCAACAGCTCAGCAGATACACAGTGTTTGTAAACTATGAGTAAGGCACTCCATCGTAAGGACACGTACGACACGTGGGGAGGACAAGCACATCAACCGTGTCATGCAACAAACCCGACGGGACGGGGGAGTTTGGCTACAACCCCCCGGGAATGGCACAGCGGAGCTCCCGGAGCAGCTCCTGGGGCCGATCCAGCCAGAGCCAGCCAGAAAAGGTGGAGGGTGCCGAGCTGAGCCCCGCAACGCGGCGAGTTGGACGCCGCAGAACTCGCCAGGCACCCGAAAAATGGGAAGGAAATCAGATGTTCGCTTGTATCAGATCACGGAATTCTCTAAACTCATTCAAAACCGTTCCCAGCACCTCTTCCCTCAGCCAGGCAGTGATGGGAAGGGTCGGCAGCACACGGAGAACAGTAACCTGTGGCAGCCCTGGAGAGCCGAGGGTGATGGTGGAATTGTCCCAGGCAGGGGACACGGAGGTTTCCCAGCCGCTGCTCCGACCCTGCGGCACCCAACAGCCCCGGGCCCTCCGTTTGCACCTTCCAAATCTGAATCTGCGTGCAGGAGGAGGATAAAGATGATCCAAACACAGGGAATGAATCCAGCCCTGGCTTGTGGGGTTTCATCCTGCCCTGAGCACGATCCAGCACTGCCTCAGCCCAAACAAGCAGAGGCTCCTGCAAAACTTCCCTCCTGGAGCAGCTTTTCCTCTCCCGGGTGGAACAAGTGCAAATCAAATTCAGACTCTTTCAGGAGGTACAATTATTCACCGATTGCCTGTCCCTAGAATTCCTCACCCAAATGAAACATGCAGGATCTTATGCTGAAGGGGAAAAAGGGAACTCCAGGCATTTAGGGCAGGAAAATGCACAGCCCTGTTCCTTGAGACACTGGATTTTCAATCAATACAGTTCAGAGCAGCTGCTGCAGCCTGGCTCTGCCCCACCTCAGAGGGGAGTTGCAAAAAAGCCTTTCCATGGAGATTCTAAAATGTGGGAATACTCCCACTCAGAGCCAGAGTCAGCAAATCCACCTGACCCCCCCCAAATTTACTTCAAAACATCACCCAAAGGCACAAGGCCTCAGATGGGATCAGGGGGCACCAAGGTTTGGAGCACATCCCCTGCTCACTTCCCAAGCTCTTCCCTCTGGACTCAGCAAGGGTTCACATGGAGCAGCTCTTGACCAGGCTGGTTGCCAAAAATATTCACAGAAAATGTGCATTCCCTATGGAATCCAAGCAGGAGAGGGTAACACTGGACTGGGAGCACAGACAGTGCCCGGCTGCCCACCCTCCCTCCAACATCCCTCTCCTCAGAGCGTGTCCGTGGTTCTGTCCGACTGCTCCCCCCAGCAGGGCTCACGTGGCTCTCAGCCCTGTGAGCTCTGGGACAGGCCCAGCCTGGCTGCGGCTCTGGGGCCCCCCAAACTCCTGATGCCCACCATAAACAGCACCCAGGACTCCTCCAGCAGCTCCCCGGGCACAAGGACCATCCTACAAAACCGACAGCACAACCACAAACGACACTCTGTCACCTACCGGGGCTCCAGGACAGCCACACCTCCTCGGCCACCTCACCCAGTGACAGAGGGTCCCCAGAGCACCCACGACACTGACACAGCTTCACATCACAAGGGTCCACAGGCAACCACTGGCCAGGCTCTGTCACCACTGCGACAACACCAACCACAACGACAGCAAAACACCCCAAGAACACAACACCTGGGACAGCAACAGCCAGGGTGACATCAGGTCACAGCGTCCCCACGGACACAGCTCAGCACTCTGTCACCTCCCAGCCACAACCTGGGGAAGCCTCTGTGTCCACACTCCTCCAGGCCTTCATAGCTAAGGGAATTCCTTCAAACAACAGCAAGAATTCTGGGAAAAGCCTTTTGGATAAAAGCCCCAAACAACAAACCAGGACAAAAAGCCAGCAAGGACAGAGGTAGTGTGCGTGTCACCATTTTAAGGATTTTCCACAAGTGCCCTGTTATAAATAGAGACTTGTGTTTGTTCTGTAAAAAAAAGTCATGAATAATTATTTTGAGTCTTTGAAACAGAATATTTCAGCATTTTAGATATAGATAGAGATACAAATATCTATCCATAACCACACACAAATCCACATTATTACACTTGGCAAACAGTACTAGGAAGGGCAGGACAACAGGCAATTCACACACCAAGTCCTCCTCTAAGCCATGCAACACATTTTATTTCCCTTGTGCCCTTCACTGTGACCCATTGTGGTTCTTTCCTCCTTTCTCGGAGCACAAAGAGGGGACGAGGAGGTGGCACCAGATGAGCTGCTGCGTGTCAGATGATAAAACAGCACTGGTGCAATGAATAAATGCTGCAAACCCCCAGAATGCTCCAGCCCTCTCCTCCCCCTGCAAGGCATCAACTTTTGCCCATCCAAAGTGTGTTCTTCAAGTTCCCAGGCAGAGGCTTCACCCCTGGTTTGGAGGTGCCGTCCGCGCTCCTCAGCGGGGGCTCACAGAGCACGGAGCACTCGCTGGACACGGCCTCCTTGGAGTCCGTGATGGTGGCCACGTCCACGTCGCTCGACAAGTCCTCGGAGGACAGGTTAAGACATCCCAGCTTGGCGAGGGAATTGGACCTTTTCAGGGGTGAGGACACGGTGAGGCCGGCCAGGCGCAGCCTGGTCTCGATCTCCTGCGTGCGCTGCTTCACCAGCCCGGGCTTGCCCCGCACGCTGTGGATGCTGTCGCTGCTGGAGCTCCGTGTCAGGTTGGAGCTGCGGGAGGAGGAGGGGGTGTAGCAGATGGTCTTCAGGAAGTCCTTGGTGAAGCTGCTCGTGTGCTCCAGGCGGCACCCGGCCGGCGTGGAGGTTTTCTGGGAGATCCCCTCCAGCACACGCTTCACCCCCAGCTTCTCCGCCTCGTTCTCAGCGTCTCCGAGCACCAGTGGGGCCGGTGCCAGGAGAGGCACAAGGCTGGGATGGGACATCAAGTCCTCGCTTTCCTCCACGATGCTGGAGTCGACCCTGCCCAGGGGGCTGTCCGAGGGCAGGCCCTTGAGGCGCTCCAGCTCTTTGGTGTGCTTCCTGACCAACCCCGCTTTCTGCAGCTGGAGCAGCGACTCCTGGTGCTGCATCAAGTAACTGTTGGCGCTCGGCTTTTCCAAGTCTTTGCTGAACAACAGGTACTTCAGGTCCTTGGTAGGTCTGGGGTCCTTTCTGGCCAGAGACTCTTCCCTCACCACCTCTGTGTGAAGGAGGCTCCTGTCGCAGTGGGAGTTTCTCCTGGGCAGCAGAGTCTTTTCGGGGGTTTTTGGCGCATCTTTCCCTCTCTCCAAAAGGCCGCAGTGCTGATCCAGTGACCTGCATGTGCCAACCTCCACAGCCGCGGCTCCTGGCGCCGGAGGGAGCGGAGCCTCGTTGTGTTTAGTTCTGCCTGGCTCCTGGGGGGGTGCCCTGCTGGGCAGGTGTTCCATCAGGTGGGAGTGCAGGTGGGACAGCAGCGGGGGCTGGGTGCAGATGGTGCTGCTGCGCCGTGTGGTGCCAGCGCCGAGCCTCTCGCACTGCTCCCCGAAGGAGTCGGGGGCCAGTCCCGCTGAGGAGTACATGCACTCAGTGCAGGACTGGTAGGAAGGCTTCACCTTGCTGAGGATCCCGAACACGGCATCGTGCTGCAGGAGAGAAAACAGGGACAGATCAACGAGCACGGAACAGACACCAGCACAGCCCACAGGGTGCGGGACAGCCAAAGAGACCTGGAACAAAGCCCATTCCCACCTCAGGCCCTGCAGCAGGAACTAAAGCCATGTGCTTTCACAGCGGACAGTGTCTCCAAGGAATACCTACCGTGCCAAGCGAGGGTCATGCAAGCGAGCTGCCCACAGCACTTTACAGAGCACTCACTGGGCACTCTCTGGCATCTACATCCACAGCTCGGGCAAGCAAAGCCCTGGTGAGAAGCGCCTCGAAAGGGGAGAAGCTCATCATGGAATGAAAGGCTTTATCCAAGTCAAATGAAACTGGGCTATGAGGATGAGAAGAGCAGTTTCACTTGCAGCAGAGTCAGCCATGCCAATCACCTCCATCTCACCTCCATACGCACCTCAAAATCCTCTGGGCAACTCCTTTTGCTGTTGTTGTTATTCAAGTTCTCCCTATTGAGCCTGCTCTCCTCCTTGTGCATGGACAAACGCCGCTTCCACTTTTCCATGGGATTTTCCTCCCTGACACCATCCTCCCCTGGCTCCCCAAGGACCATCCTTCCTTTCCTGGGGCTGAAGTCCAGTTTCTTCTTCGCCTCTTTCTCACAGAAGCTGCCCAGCTCTGCCAGTGGCTCCGCTCTCTCTGGGGCCTTTTCCATCTCCAGCAGCCTCCCCTGGGATGGTGCAGATGGAGGCTGTCCCACCAGGGCATCCCGCTCCAGCTGCTCCATGTGGAAGAAGCCCTCCCTGTCCCCAGGAATCTTGTTCTCCAGCAGCGTGTCCGAGAGGCGGCGGAAGCAGTACCCGAAGCCCACGGAGCCATCGGAGCCGGCACGGTTGTCCAGGTAGGCAGACTGGGAAGGCATGTCCAGGTCAGCCAGGCGGTTTTCCAGGTCGATGTCCAAGCTCTCCAGTAAGAAGTCTCCCGACCCCGTGGTGCCATCGGTGTTCTGGGGCAGGTTGCTCTCTGCCTGCTGCTTCCACAGTTTATTGTGGCGCTGCTTGCTGGGGAAAGGACAAGGACACGAGTGACTGCCCTGCAGGATGCCCAGTGCCAGGAGCTTTCTTCTGTCTCCACAGCCCAGAACCCAGGGGCTGGGCCCAGACCTGAGATCCCACTTGGATGAACCACCTTCAGCACTGGGATTTTTTCTCCCAGAGCAGTGCCCAGAGTACAGCTGTGGTGGGATCAGAGCTTGGGAGACCCCTCAGGGCACAGAAGCCCCCTCAGAGCACAACACCCCAAACTCTGCACGTCCCGTGGCACAGTTCCTGCTGAACCAGAGGACAGAATTCTCTCCTCTGTCCTCAGAAGATAAATACTACAGCCCTCGCAGTGACAGAGCCCTGGGGCTGGCACAGAACCACGAACACTTTGCCTCCAGAATGGCCCGAACTCAGTTCTGCCTCATAAAACAAGAACAATACTGTGCTGAGCAGCACTGGCTGCTGAGAAATCCAAACGTGCTTCCCAAGCACGGAGAAACCCTCACTGAGTTACACCACAGCAGCTCTCCCAGCTAATTTCCATGCAGGGAGCCTGGCATAGGGAAGGTTTAGGAAAAGCATGACTGACCCAGGATTCTGCCTGTGCTCTTCAGGCGACACCCCTCACACCAACAGAGCCCCACAGAGATCCAGAAATCCTTTGTGATGTTATCCACAATCAGCTCCTTTCCCTCCCACTCATCCCGAGGCACACCTGGCATCCAAAATGCCCTCGTACTCCAGCAGCTGCCGCATGAAGCCGGCGTTGGGCCGCGTGATGCTGCGCTTCTGCTTCACGTAGTTGTAGGCCTTTTCCAGGGACCAGCCGAACTCCTTCATGGCATAGGCGATGACGGTGGACGCCGAGCGGCTCACGCCCATCTTGCAGTGCACCAGGCACTTGGAGTGGTTCTTCCTGCAGGAGGACAAACAGGAGAATAAATCCCGTGTCACCGGTTCTGGATCTGTTAGGGCTTCACCAGAAGAGGGACAGAGCTCCCCGCTCTGCCCACGCTGCATCACAGCTCCGGAGGGGAGAACGCGTAGGATGATGAGGGCCAGGAGAAGAATCCCTCTCCAGAAAAGCTGGGAGTTAGAGATGGGCAGCCTCATTCACTTCAGAGACCACCATGAAGCCTCCTGCCTCCATCCAAGTCTTGGGAATACTGGGATCACTGGGAAAAGGCTGAGTGTAGAGACCTGGCAGGGTTTGATGGGCTCTGTCTGCAGAGACAGCTGGGGCAGGTCCAACACAGACACGGCTGGAGCAGCTCCAGAATGTCTCCAGAAGAGGAAACATCCTCATTTCCTTTTGGAAGCAAAACAAAGTAGTAACAAAAATGCTGGGCTAGGAACAGGTTAATGCCAGTCTGGGAAGGGACAGGGCACAAGGGAGCTCCAGGAACACGGAATGATGATGCCAAGGCCCTGCAGTTCGTGTGGCTTTGTGAGGGCTCAGGATGTGCCTCCCCCAGGGCCAGGTGTCCCAGCACTCACTTGGCCTTGTTGATGAAGTGATAAGCCTCGTTCCAGTGTGCCAGCAGGTCCGTGGTCTCCTCGTCGTACACCCGGATGTTGTGGTAGGCGAACAGGCCTGGGAAGAAGTTGTCGATTTCGCGGGTGACGTTCAGGATGTAGTCAATGCTGTGTGACAGGAGAGACACCCTGAGCTGCCACGGTCACCAAACAGGCACTGAGGGACACTGTGAATCCATGCAATCCAACCCAACACGAGCTGTAAGGTTTTACCTACAGCCCTAATCCTCAACTCCTGGAACAGCTGGTGACACAGGGCACACAGGAGGCCATTCTGCCACCTCTCACTGCCAGCACATCCCAAGTGTCAAAACTGGGTACAGGAGGGAGAAGTTTATTTTATTCCATTTATTGTCTCCGAGCCTGTGTAACCCAACCAGGAACTGCTGTGCCACACAGCTCCGGGGATGCAGAAAGAAGTGAATCACCTGGGAACATAACCCAGGGATCGCCAACTCCAGCTGCAGGTTTTAGCTGCAAGCCCATCCCTTCTCCTTCTTTCTGACCAAAACCACGAGAGTCACATGCTATCTCTTGATTCCTGCCAAATATCACAGCAGGGATAACAATGTACCTAAGAATGAATGTCCAGATTGATTTATCACCTCCTATCAGTGAGAAAAATCAAGGACATGGGATATTTGTCTCAGAATTTGTCCAGCTTTGCCTCTGAACACTGCAGATCCCAAAGCAAGACATAATCATTAACACTCTGCTTGATTTCCTTGTCCCATGATGTGCAGACATCTGCTCCCAAGGACTCCAAATGAAACATTTTCAGCTGTGTTGAAATTGAAAAGAATTTCAGTTCCTTACAGCAAGGTTGGTGCAGGCCTTGAGTGAGCAGCAAATATTTATAGGCAGAATTCTCCCTGATCCAAAAAGTGTGGCAGGGAATGGAGCCAAGCAGCACCATGGGGATGGGAGAGAAGCCTGGAGCTGCCTGTCCAGGCAGGTGAGGAGGAGTTTGCTCATCCATAGGCAGCTCTGCTCCATCTGAATGGAGACTTTTCCTTAGTGCTGCAACCGTTGCTCCTCTGCAGCCTGCAGGAATTCACACCTGGCACAGCACTGGGAAGACTGGGGGATGGAGATTCTGATGGACCTCATGAATGACAAGTTTTGTTATTTTTGCTCTGTGCTGATGGTAAAAGTGAGGTTGGAGAGATTTCTCCAGAGCTGCTGGTGGGGAGTTACCCCACAGCTGCGAATGGCCTAAATCATCCCTAGAGCCTGTAAATGTCCTCTCCAGAGTCCTGGGGGAATTGCAGGCCCACAGTGGAGGGTTTGGAGCCTGTAAATGTCCTCTCCAGAGTCCTGGGGGAATTGCAGGCACACGGTGGAGGGTTTGGAGCCTGGGAGGAGCAGTACTCACCCCGAGCCCTGCAGCTCCTCCAGGTTGGAAGCGTTCCACTCGGAGCCCTGCAACAGCCACAAGCACACGTTTCCAAGGGGCCCCAAACCAGCCCTTTTCCCTCAAATTCTGCAATCCCCCAGCCCCAGCCGTCCTCCTGAGCTGACTGGAATGTTGGGAACAGCCTCTGAGACAGGAATAGGGCACTGATGTCCTGTCCTGAGCAGGCAGGGACCTGCTGAAGGAGGGAGCAGGGTACAACTCACCCACAGAGTTAGTTCTAGGCCAGGGTGTGACTGAGCTCATCCCAAATCACTGCCCCTGGCCACTCTGGAGTTTTAAACACAGGGAAAAACAGTTCAGGGAAACAAACCAAATGCACCTGTGATTCCAGACATGCCACACATGAGAAGTGAGGTAAATCCTGAAACTCTGGAGGTGGTCACACCTTGGATTCCCCCCAAACCTTCACAAGAGAAAGCTCTGAACTGTTAAGAAGCAGGTTTTGCCCTGAAACACGAGCAATTCCTCTGACTCTACCCAGAACAACAACAAAAAGACCCAATGGCACAAAGTGTCATCTCTGGGAAGTCTTTGTTCCAGAGGCAGAGCCTGGTTTTGCCTGGAGTACCATCTAGTGGCAAAGGATTGGACACAGCACAGCAGAGCCCTCCTGGAGCTCCTGACACTCACCAGGTACAAATGATCAAAAATCAGGGATGGTTTGTCCATCTGACCCAGGATCAGCAGCATTTCATTGTCTATAAATTCCTTGAATTCCTTCAAGTTGCAGTTCATGTGTTTCTCCAGCTCATTTCGGATCTGCAGAGCAAACACAAAGGATGGCACTGGAATCTTGGTGTCCAACAGAAATATTTGTGGGCATTTCCCTGCAGAACACTTTTCACTTTTTCATTAAAAACAGCAACAGGGACTCAGCCTTCTGGAGACCAGGAATTTCAGTATGTGGCATCTCTCCAAATATGCAGAACAGGTTGTGTGGGGAGGGTGGTTAAAGTTCATCTCGTTCCACACCTTCCACTGTCCCAGGCTGCTCCAAGCCCCATCCAACCTGACCTTAGACACCTCCAGGGATTCCAGCTTCTCTGGGAATTCCATCCCAGCCCCTCAACCAGTTTGTTTGGTTTTTTTTCCCCAACATCCCATCTATCCTCCCCTCTAGCAGTTTAAAACCACTGTCCCCTGCCATGGTATCCTAAATTCCCAAACTAAGAATCTGAAAATAAAGCTTCACATATCATCTGAAGGAAAAAAAGTATTTTGGGGTACCTGCTCCTTAAAATTAGTAATTTGAGAGAGAAAAAACAAGAGCTTGTCTGCGGGAGGAGTGAGGAACACATCCACAGACAGACGTTCTCAGCTTCCTCCTACCACTTGCATGTTAATAACCTCCCTTAAAAACCAAAAACCCACCCCAAAAAGAACCATTCCCACTCTGATCACGTCTGCACTGTGGGTGGATGGATTTCACCAGCCTGGGGGATGGATCCAAAAGAGCTCTAGCCTTGATTTGTGATTTTCCATCCATAAACTCACCAGCAAAATGCTGTCTGCAAGGTCCTCTGACATTTGTCCAGGAAAAAAAAAAAAGGAAATAAAACCTTAAAATCTAATTTGAAAGTCACACAGCTGTTACTGAGGTCCTGAAAGACAGTTGTGATGCTGGGATTATCCTGATCTCTCAGGAGGGAGATGCAGCAAAGCCAGAGCAGAGCCTTTACAGAACGGTTGAAATGCACATTCCAAAGCCAGGGACACCCAGGCATATGGTGCTTGCTCACCACTCTCTAGAGAGGGAGTCTGGCAGGAAGAATAAGAGTGAATTTTTTTTTATATTTACCTCCTTGGAAGTCACATTTTCCAGGTCTTTGCTGGTCATGATGCTCCGGAGCTTGGCTTTAATGAGTCGCTCCGTTCGTTCCCTTTCTGTCGGCCTGGGAAGGAACAGGAAGAGGAGAGGATGATTCCAGGTTGGCAGCATGAGCACAGCACTGAGGAGTAAGGCTTGTGTTAAAGGGAGTTTTTATGGAAATAATAATTTAAAAAAAAAAACAGTTTGTTGGTGCTCATACACTATATCACGAGCTAAATTTCAGGTCTGACTATTTCGCACAAATTCTCTTTTGTTGCTTTTGCAGCCCCAGAAAAGAATAGGGCCAGGAAGAATAGGGAGAAGAGGAAATTTCCTTCACGAGCCAAGCAAACTTTTCCAAATAAAATGCTGCACTGACTTGTCAACAAAGAGGGCTGGGGAGTCGGGGCGGGTGGACTCCAGGTCCTGCATGGCGTTCCACTCATTGATGCAGCTCTGGTCCGAGCTGATGCAGCTCTCGTAGTAGGTGGCCCACACCAAGGCCACCCCCCCTGGGAAGTAGTTGTACCTCCTGGCAACTTCACAGGCTTTGTGGAGGATCTGTAAAGCAGACCTGCAGGGTGGGAGAAGAGATACGGGCAGCTGTAAGCAGACAAAGCAGAAGCTGAGAGAGTTTCACAGAGGAAAAACGATTTTCAGTATTAGTTGTTGCAGTTTGCTCTTCGAAAGCAGGAAATTTATGGTGTCAGAGCTCAAAGAGGCACAAACTGCACCTTGGGGGCTTCTCCCAGCAGGGCTGAGGCAGGGGTTGAAATCTTCTCCTAATTAACAGGGAAGAAGGAGGCACAAGTTGCTCTGGGATCTAATCATTAACCAACTTGTACAGCCAAAGGAAGATAAAGAACAGGGACAATTTTCCAACCACCTCCAGCAAAGAGCCTGATGAATATTTACCAGCATTCCTGGCCCCTGACAGGCTCCAGGGACAGAGCCCAGATTGGGTCATTTGTTTTTGCAAATCCTAACATTACTTTTTCCTTCCTTCTCTCCTCAATTTTTCCTTTCTTTAAGGCTTTTACTCCAAAGCTGTTGCACTGAAGACATCAACCACATCCAAGGCTGGCAACAGGAGGGGCCAAATTAAAAACTGACAGGAACAGGAGTTTTATTTGTTTCTGTACCAAACCATCCCTAGCACAACATCCTTCCCCACAGCTGTATCTCTTCCCTAGGAGATGCTGCAGGGACTGGGATCTCTCCAGGCTCCAAGGGGAAACAGCACTGCCCAGGCAGAGGGAGATGCAGCTCCATGTGGAGCAGCCTCTTCAGGGAGGAATTTGCTGGCTCAGCCACCTCAGGGGTTTGGAATCTCTGCACAGGGGAGGGGTGGCAGGAGCTGGAAGGTGAATGGGCACCTGGGGCTGCAGGAACCCCAGGAATGGGGCAGGACACAGGAATGCCACAGGCTGGCAATGGGCCCTGAACCTCCTCTGTCAGCCACAGAGAGAAACATGCAGAGAGAGGAGATTCTTGGTTTGCAGCTCCAGGAATTTGAGCTCATCTTTCATATTTATTCATCTCCCTGGTGCCACTTCCCCCATGCTGAAGGACACAGAGCTGCTCTGAACTGAAGCAGCAGATCCTGCTTTGGGATCAGGAGTCCCACAGCCCCTCTGCTGACACAGGGGAGCAGATCTCTGCTGCAGTTCACTAAATGCCCATTGTGGAGAAGGCTAAAATGCAGCTGATTTTTTTTCTTTAATTTTCTGACAGAAAGAAGAGTGTCTCCCTGAGCCCAGCCCCTCACGTACCACATGGCTTGCACCGACACAGGTTTGAAGATGTGCATCCTCCCTGCAGTGCTCACGCTGAAGCCACTGATGGAGAGAGGGAAAATTGAGTCAAAACCTGCTTTTCTCTGCACCCCAACCTGCCCTCTACAAACAGCCACTGCACTGGGGCACCCACAGGCCAAAAGAATCAGGAACAGAATTTCTATCACTGATTTTCCAACCTCCCAAGTAAGAAAGGAAAGAGCCTGCCAGTAATGGGAGCTCCAGTCCTCAGTGGGGTTTCAGAGCATTCCCTGGAACCACAGGAGCAGTGTGAGGGCAGCAAGACAAGAACTCACTGTCTGAATAAGAGGACTCTGCAGCCATGAATCCAAAATGGGCACTTCATTTACAAGGTGATGGAGAATCTCTCCTAGAGCAGCCCCCAGGTAGGGAAGGACATTCACATTTATCCTTTCAATGTGGTTTCTTACCCATCCCCATCCAGATGGATTTTAGTATCACTCCACAGGCGAAGAACCATTCCTATAGTGCAGCTTTTACTGGAAGAGAGATGGTGAGACAGGAAGTTAAATATAGGCCACAATGTGGTCATGCCAATAGCCTAAATTATTAATACTCTTTAATTTTTAAAATCCTCAAGCCTTGCTCTAGTAATCTCTCGTAATATTTTAGGCCATCAAATAAATCTGGAAGCTGGAGTCTGGTCTGACAAGGTGATAACTCATGGTGATTGCTCCATGGGATCACTCTAACAGGTGGAATAGATGAAAATGGATTTTAGTGGTTATCTGACCCAAAAGAGGATCACTCTAACAGGTGGAACAGATGAAAATGGATTTTAGTGGTTATCTGACCCAAAAGAACACTTTCAGTTCAGACAATCTGGCAAGAAAACCCTGCTATAGTGAAGGCCAGGAACTTCCAGCTGTAAATAATTAAGCTACTGAGATATTTAGGTTTTAAAGGAAATTGTGATGCAGACAGCAACAGAAATCCATCCTTCCTCTTGGCTCACATCAATAATCACCAGGAGCAAATTAATGCAAGGTTGTTTCAGAGTGGAGGTGACATGGCAAACTTCCCCTGGTGTGGCACACCAAGGGAATGCCACATGGGCAATTCAGAGCAGAACACAGGCAGCATCAAAGCCAGTGACAATAATCTGACAAGGAAGGCACAAGGCACAGCTGGAAGCTTCCCTACAGATCCCTCTGCTGTGCAAAGCTTCCCCTTCCCACCTTCCAGGGGAAACCACCACTAAGGTTTTCCAGAATTAAACAAAACTCACAGAGGCTGCACCACAAGGACAGGGCAGCCTGTTAAATCCTGGGAGAACACACACAACAGCCTGGCAACTGTCCTTTGAGTCCAGCTCTGCCAAACCAGCCCCTTTTCCTTCAGCCAAGAGTATTTCTGCCTTGGCTTACTCACCAGAACTGGAATAATCTGAGAGGGGCTGCAATAACAAAATATTTCACTTGCTTTTCCAAATACTGTGTGCTCTTATCAGTCAGACAAAAGGAACAGCTCGTTGCTGACACAGTTGTTTGTTGGTTTTGGAGCCACTTCTGCAGTATTGTGTTTTTACGTTATTTGGCAACAAAGCTACTACAAAAGCAGCTCCATTGCATCATTCCATCAACACACTGGAGTCTGGGGGAGAGAATGAGCTCCAGTTTTGCAATTGTGTCTGCAAGAGCATTTTGCAGGGAGCAGACTCCCACTGGTGAGGTGGATGCCATGGCCTTTGATTCCAGAGATTTCTTGAATAAAAAGGTCAGAAAACTCAACCCTCTGTCCTTTCTCTTGCTGGAATGTGTAGATGCAGATGACCCAACTGCTCGGGGACAGTTTGGTGCTGCCAGAGAGCCCATCCTGCCTGGCTGCCAGCTCAGACCTACCTCTCCTTGCTGGAGAAGTCCACTCCCAGCAGGATGTTCTCCTCGGTGTCCTGCCGCCCGCTGCTGTACACCACCACCATGTAGCGCACGCGGTCGGTCCACACGCTCTCCAAACGCACGGCCTGCAAACCACCTCTGCCTCATTAGTGCTGCCACTGCTGCACAAGGCTTTGGAGGCTCTGACTACCCCCAAAAGCTTTATTTAGTATGGGAGATACAGCAAGGCTTGTTGCTGTTTTGGTGAGGGGAAGATGAGCTGAGATTATCTGCTCGAGGTTGGGTTTTTACGTTACAAAATGTAGCCCTAAGGTTTGTTCTGAAGTTTCAAACAGGAAGTGTAAAAACATTGGTCATGCACTGAACTGAAAACAGGCAGGCTCAGAGGATTCTCCCACTCCCAAACCTTCACTGAAATAACTCAGTCCTGCAGGAGGCACAACTGGCATCAGCTTCTCTGCAGAGAAGTGACTTTTACAGCAGATTTTTATCTGCAGATTTCTTCAAAAGAAAGCCCAGCCCAGCTGATGCAATTTCAAGGCTGACTTAAAAGTGTCCAAGAGAACCAGCAAGGTCCTGTCTCTCCTCCTGTATTACTGTTTGTCAGCTGGATGGAAAACTAAATCGAACAAAAGAATCAATTTCAGGCAGAGCAGTTCCCTGACCCAACTCACACCTGGACACACAAGGACCAGGGCAAAAGGAGTGGTCAGGAAAATGGGGTAGGGCTGGAAACCAGCACAGAGTTAAGGCAGCTCTGAAATCTAGGATTTGCCTATGCTTTTCCTGCTCCTCTACAGGTCTATTGCAAACACTTCCAAGAGAAGTGAGAGCAGGAAAATGCACCTGTCCTTACCAGTTTGATCCTGTCCTCGCAGCGCAGGAGGTTGATCATCACCTGGAGGTGCTGGGGCAAGTCACCTGCACAGAAAGCAGAGCAGTCATCACAAAGGGGCTCTTGCTGCACTAGGAATCAGCAGAGTCTCAACCTTTGGAGAAACTGGATGTTTCTAAGTCAAAAAAATACTAATTAAGGGAGGTCAATTAACTTTGCTGTCCCAGAGAGCACGAAGAGCAATGAGATTCTTGCATGGGCATTCCCTGGATGGGTGAGAACCCAACCTGACAGTATTTGGAAGCCACCAAATCAATTGCAACGACCTGTGCCTGGCACAAGTGAGGATTCTCCTCCTGTCACAGCACCCTAGAGAGGACAAAGGTTTGGCCATAAGAACCAGGGAGGAAGAAGAGGAGGAAAACTCTGATTAAAAAAACAGGAACAAAGGAGAAAAGAACAACTTTGAGCTGTGGATCAGCCCCAGCAGCCCTACAGAGGGTGTGACTGAGCATGAGTGAGCTCCAGAGGAAGGGCTGCAGCAATGGCCTGGTTTGGGTGATGGAGCCCTTCTGTCTCTAACTTCTGCTCATGCACCAAGTCCCTTCAGCTCCAGCCTGTGGGTACATTTCTATTTGGGGAGGGCAGACGAAAGGAACAAGGAATCTACAGGAAAACAAACCAAGTTCCCATCTAATAACTCAGTAATGCACTCATAACTTTCCATGTGAGATAAAATTCCTTCCGTAGGCTGTTTGCTGGGTACATGGAATTGCTGACAGTTCAAGAAACCCAAAGCCAAGCTTGGCATTCAAACACCCCCTTTGTGCTGGAGTGTTTGCTAAGCAGCACCACACAGTGCCTTTCCCACAGGCTCCTGCTCTCAAAATGCCCCAAAATCCCAGTTATCCTTGCCCAGTACCCACCTATTTCCAAACTGCCAAAGACAGAGAGTATAAATACTGGGGAAGCAGAATCAACTTCCCTGGATACCCTTATCTGCATCCAAATCTGTATGTACACTCACCACACCACTCCCTGCCATTTCTTCCCACCAGCTGGCAACTGGAAGGGACTGGGGGAAGCAGGACAGTCTGTTCTTAAACCATGATAAACTCCAACAGATTGTGGTGAGCTGACAGGAAAGGGGGTTTTCTTGAAACCAGGATATGAGGAGCTAACAAATCTGTCCAGACACCCAAATCCTGATCTAACATCCCTTACTCTGACCAGCAACATCCAAACAAAACCAGCAACAGGAAGTTTCAAAGCAAAAGGTCCCAAGCTTCAGATTACTGGAGACTGGGAGAGCCCCTGGAGAAATGTCCAGGACATCCACAAGTGCCCAAGGGGTGCTGAGCTCTGTGACTCAGCCCTGCCACAAGCCAAAGGGGAGGCAAAGATTAACTCACTGAAGCACAAGTGACATTTCCTCCTCTGTGGCTGGGGAAAACAGGGAGAGAGATTCCACACAGCCCTTCTGGCTGCTCAGGCTTCCCTGCCTAAAGAAAGTCATGCAAAATGCCATGATTTTCACAGAGAGTAAGTTTCTATTCCAGTCATGGTTCCAAGAGAATGATAAAAGTTTAAACCAAAACTCAATGATACCAATAAAAAAACTCAGTAATTTGAATTTGGGGTGAAAACCTGGGTTTGTTCAGCAGGTTGTACAAGGCTCACCAGGACAACCTGGGGTGTCACCCACTGTGCCATCAGCCTGTCCCTTCGGGTGGGAGGGAAAAAGGATCTCCAGAGGGGATTGAATCCATTACCTGCATGTTTGTGGGGATGCTGGAGGCTTCGCTGGCCCTGGGAGCTGTTTCCTTGCTGTAAGAAAAGGGCTGCACCTTTCACCATGAAAAAGCTCTCGCTGAGGCTGGGAAAAAAAAAAACAAACAAAACACACAGAAGTCAGCTGAAAGGAAAGAGCAGCAAAATGTGCACATCTGGGAATGGAAGTGCTTTCCTCAGTAAAATAGTAGGATTTTGCCACAGCCACTTGCACAGCATGACTCTAGGATTATTCATGGATTATTCATCTGTCATTTTCCACCATTGTTTTATTACTTGGCCCCTGCAGGAGATACTTGCCTGAGCTGTCATGGGCTGGAAATGACTTTATCACTTGATTGTGGAATCCTGCAACTTAAAAGAAGCAAAGGGTTGGACTTTTTACAGGCTGAGACCTGCAATGGACTGGAGAGCAGGTTCTGAGCCCATCACTTCCTGCTGATTGCAGTTCTTGACATTTCTTTGGAATGCAAAAACAAGAACCTGCAACTGTGTAGATTTAAAGAGGAAAGGAGATGAAACCTGCACATCCCAAGGGAAAGGACACAATTCTGGATCCTCAGGGAAAAACAATCACCACAAGGCTTGGCTCTGCTGTGGCTGGATCAGCATCCTGGGACAAACACAGTGACATTTCCAGGGGGAAATGACACCCAGGGCTGGAGCATAAGGGAGAAGCAGAGCAGCACCAGCACAGCCGGATTTCACCACTCCCGGACACACACGAGAATCTCGGAAATCCTTCAGCAGCAGCTTTGGCCAGAAGCAGTGAAGCTGCATTTCCCACATGGCTGGAAATCCCTGTCTCCTGAGGCACCTTTCAGCTGCACAGGAATTGCTTGGGATGTGTTTGCTCTGCTCCCCAAACAGCACAAGAGCCATTTGTTTCTCCAAAGCCCAGTTTTCCACCGCCCCACGCTTGCAGCCATAGAACACCATTAATTAATGTCTGCACCTACTAAACAGAAATGCTCCATTATGAGACTGTGCTACACAGGAGCTCCTTATGCTCCAGCAAATGATCCCACTGGAGTTACTACTCCCAGCACTCATCTATTCCATATTTTATCTATGGTCTTTGCCTTGGGGCAGGAGTGAGTGGTAATGCTCCCAATGCTCTGTTCTACCTCAGTTCCCAGGCAAAGCTTCCTCCCGATTCAACTGAATTTCAAGAATTCCCCAGAAAAATCTGGATCAGGTTTAAATTCGAGATTTCAGTTGCTTTTAAAAGGTGAACTAAGATTTTTGTCTGAATTTCAGACTCCACAAGATCAATAAAACACAGCAGGAGAAGCGCACCCTAATTCCAACAATTCTCCACTTCCATTCCCACAGGATTCCAGCACTCCCCTCTCACCTCACTGGCTGGGTCTGAGCAGGATCCAAGCTCAGCCTGGCACTGGACACAGCACCCAGGGCTGCAAATGGCAACGTGGCTCCCTCCAGGAGGCAGCCAGGAAGAGCCTTGTTTCCTTCTCACCCCAGACCTCACAGGAAAGCGTTAAAAAAAGGCCAGAAGTGACACAAAGGCAGCGACCCCCACACAAGTATGGGATATTCAGCACTCACCAGAGGCAGGGAATGCTTAGATCATGCACCAGGAGATAATTCACAGCATTCCCACCCTGAGAATCTGGGGAAAGATTTCTTTGGGAAAGCAAAAAAATATCCTGAAACAGGATATTTTACTCCAGTGTTTTACCCCAAAGGATCTTTGATCTCAAAGTACTGACTAGGATTTCTACTTCAAGAAAAACCTTGGAAAAAACAGAGCTCCTTCCCAAAGTTATCAGGCTCTCTTGCTTTGGTGATACACCTTGACAGATGTTCTCCTTTCCTGCAGCCAGGAAATCTGTGACAATAAAGCAGAATATTCCCAATTGCAGGCAAAAGGGAAAGCTGTGCTGCTAGAGCAGCGAGTGATCCAGGAAAAGGACAACTCACAGAGCAAAATTTTTGTTCCTGTGTATCCATGTGTGTGGAAATGAACAGGAAAGCAAAGCCAGGAGCCTGCTGAGAGCAAGGTTTCCATTTCCACTAAAATGCCCGTTCCTACCCTGCACAAACCCTCCGTACCCCCAGCATTCCCCATCTCCACACCAGCTCCCGTTTCCATGTGCCCAGCACGGTACTGGACACAGGGAACACACCCAAACGCCTCTCTGCTCATAGTTTACACCCCAGTGTAACAACAACTTTACCCAAGCCCTTATCTCTGCTCTGGGAACTGCCTGCGCTCTGCCACTCCACACAGCTGCTCTGGACACAGCTCAGTGCAAAAGGCAAGGCACGACTCCCTTTTAAATCCTGCAATCCCAGTAAACAACTAAAACTCTGGGCTTTTTTTTTTTTTTTTAATTAAAAAACCCGTCCTAAAGAACACCCAAATCCTGGCATTAGAGAACATCCCCAACCTCTGCCCCTCGGCAGGGGTGACAGATGCCCCAAAGCACAACCCCGTGGCTCATACATACTAATTCGGGCTGGTTTTCTTTGCGCAGCGGCAGCATCGTGGTGGCCCCAGCGTCAGACAGAAGTCAGGCAAATTGAAAAGATTCATAACCAGCTGGAAAACTCACATCCTTTTGCTTCTAAACCCATAAAAAAACACCAGAAGGCAAAGAAAAGGTCACGCGTATTTTCTGTGCGGAGCAGAGGAATCGCGGCTGCTGATGCTCCCAGGGAACTGGATGGCTTTTAGGGAACACTGTGTCTTCCACTGATATCCTGGCTTGAAAAAGCACTTGTCCCAACACATCCTGATGAAAGAGAGCCATTCAAGAGGGGAAACAACCAGCTGAGGCTCGGCTAATCGTTTCCCTCCTCCAGACTTGTTTGTTTGTTTGCTTCCCCCCTCGTGCTCCAGAGGCTCCTATCAGCACCCACACAGCCCCTGGCTGCGGGAAGCCCACATTCCCTTCGAGGGACAGGACTAGAGGAAAAGCATCCTATGGACTGATGCCTGTTCATTCCTTTACAGTTAAAGCAATGCTTTAATACAGATACAGGAAATTAAAACAGTCCTTCTCTCAGTGTACAGCTGCCTCGTTGGATTTTCAGAGCCATTCCCGAGTTCCTGAGCTCCCACTGGACAAGGAGTCTCTCAGGTGCTCCGTGTTTGTGTGTTAGGGGCTGGCTGGCACTGAATTCCCTGAAGATTTGTTCCTTACAAACCCCAATTCTTTCTGCAGGCACACACCATAAGGCCACTCTGGTCCCACCAGCCTGACCAGGGGAATGAGGAGCTCTCTGTGCATTCTCAGCCAGTTTTCACCCAGTTTGACTGGCACACACCACAGAAACCACCCAATCCCTGGATGCCCTTCCAGGAATCCTGACCAGCACAACTTCTCTACAAGGAGTCACTTCAGGCTCTCGAATAAACACAGAGCCCACTCACAGCCCCAGGACCCTGATGCTCCAATACAGCTGCAGACCAGCTCTCCTCCCACTCCCTGACCTCAGCTTACCAAACACAGGAAATAATCACCCTAAGAGAGGGAAAACCCAACACTTCCAACACCTCCAACAGGAGGGTACAGACAGTGACAGTCCCTCCTGCCCCCGGAGGCTGGCAAGGACAGGGTGCTCATGGCCACAGCCCTGCTGAGAGCCGGCTCCAGAGGCTGTTGCTCCATCCGTTGGCTCCGTGCTGCTCAACTTGAAAAGGAAATATTTCTTTCCCTTTGGGAAAGCTCCAGAGGAGCGTGGCTACAACACACATCAAGCCCATTTCGAGTCGCTGAAGAGCACAATAGGCAGCGCCTTCTCGGTAGTACAAACTGCCACCCCCCGGGGCCGGGAATGCCACTAAGTAATCCTTTAAAAACACTGGATTTGGGAAAAGAGACAGAGCTGCTCGTGCTCCGGGGCAGCCAGATGCCAGTCCCACAACAGTTTTCCCCAGGCAGTTTGCTTTGCCATTGTGGCTCCAGCTGTGAGGTGCCCCAGGAGGAATCCTCACACGCCTCATGTGCTTGAGTTCCATGTTTTAATGGGGAATCTCACATAAGCCATAATCATCTTGCAGGACACAAGAAAAGAGTCTATTAACACATCTTATAGCTACAGAACTAATCTCAAAATAAAGATCCACAGAGTCTGGAGAAAAAAACACTTTTCTTGGGAAGTGCAAGCCTGAGGTAAGTGAGCAGCCTCCTGCAACCAGGTCTGTGTTTAAGGAAGAAAAAAACCCCCAAATCCCCACAAGGAAAGGAGTATTTGCTTCTCTCAAAATTGGTCATGATTTTACAAAGGCAAACATGGTAATGCCTCCCAGTTCCTTGGGTTTCATGGCATCTTCTACTCAAAACATTTCCAAACTGATAAGGTGAGGGAAAACCAAGCCTCTCATGCACCACAGAATGGAACACACTTCCCTCTTCTATAGCCCTGTTGAAAAGGAGGAAGAAAACTGATTTTTCTCCCCCTTTTTCTTCCCCTCCTTTGCTGCTTGGTCTGGAACAAGCTTGGCCACCTCAAGGCAACTGAGAAAGAGACAAAACAGCCCTGGAGAGGGACCAAGTCAGCCCTGCTGGATGCTCCCATAGCCCAGCCAGACCCCCCATATTCCAGAGGGTGGATTTTAGGCAGGACACTGCAGAGAGCAGAGGAGACTGGCATTGTCCCACAGCCACACCACAACAGCAACACAACCCAAACTGGGAAGGAGCACATCAAACAGAAAGGAGAGAAACAGGAAGAGCTGAGAACAGCTGCGTGGCTCCTGCTCCCCAAAAAAGCCGACGGTTAAGGCGGAGGCACTGCTTGCTCTGGCCTGATAGAGGCACATCTGATAACACTTCCTGAGCACAAGAGGGGCCTTTGGAAGGGGCCTGGGCAACACAAAACAGCAGAGGGGAAAAAGGGACCTCAAAGCTGCTCCTTCCCATGGCACTGCACAGCCCCAGGAACAGCCCAGGGACTCCAGCAGCAGCAGCAAGCCCCTTCTCCTGCTCTTAATGAAGTGTGTCCAAGTGGCCTTTGCTCCGTGTCACACAAAGATTAAAGGGAATCACCTGGACAAACACAGGTGGGAATATCACCACAGCCATCCCAGCTCAGCCCCACGTGGAGCAGGGCTGCCACAGGAGCAGTGTGCTCCCCACAGAGCAGCACCTGGAATAGCCCAGTTCCAACACGTGCGAAGATGGTTCAGAACAACGTGTAGGATTTGGGATATGCTGGCAAACTGACCTGTGGTCAGGAGGGCAGGAGCCCAAAGCACCTGGCAAGGTCAGAGAGATCTGCTCAGGACCACTTGAAGGTGTTTCTACCACCAGAAATGCAAGGCAGGAAAGCTCTTTCCATACCCATGACTTCCACACCCAAACTCGTCATTCCCAGACCTCCTCAGCTGAAGACAAGTCACCCTCAGAAGAAAAGCAAAATGTGGGCTGCAAGTTCACAAGGAGAACATCTCCCCTTCCTCAGACACAGCCAGGGCATCTTTGTGCCAGGAAGGAGCCAGGCAGCAGCTCCAGCTGGGTGTTAGTGTTGGTTGTAAAGCCTCCCTGCAGGAGGAAACATCTCTCCCATCTTTTTTGAAAGAAGTGAGATGCTGGAGAGACCAAAATACTCAACAGGCTTTGCTGTTCTCAGCAGAGCAGGGACCAAGGGCAGTGTGAGTGTGCATTGCTGAGCTCAGAGGCGTGGGGATCGTGGGCCACATCCCAGCAGGAATGCTGACAGGGCTGCAGACACTGCAGGCCATTCACACACAAACACTCCTCTGGCACAAAGGGCAAAAAAAAGAAAAATGAAATCAATCATGAAGCCCACAAAAGCTGATTTCCCAACAGAAATAGACTGCTGCTGATGTCCCTTCAGCCACTCCTGGGATACATCAGGCTGGAGCAGCAATCAGCACAAATCCTGCACTGAGTGGAACCAGCTCAGCTCTGGGTATCCCACCCCGGGGGCAACCAGGCTCTGCCTGTAGACAACCCAGGAGCAGCTGGGATAAACCCTCCCAAAGAAAGGGCAGGAAGAGGGAAACAAATGAACAGGATCATTCCCCATTCCAGCAGACTTGCGCAAAGTAAATTGACAGAACTGCTCCCAAACAGCCAGGAATGAGAAAATTCTAGGAATCCCTAGTACTTGGATGGTGAAAAGCCAAATAAAATAAGAGATTGTTTCACAAGGAAAAAGAAATCCTTTCTGCTCATCCCATTAATCGCCGAGTTCAAAAAGGCACGAGGCTGATCCCGGCATCACCCAGCTACGCCATGGCCTTGGAACTCAGTCTGAATCCCAAGGAGCATTTCTGAGATTCCCACTGAAACACGATGTCACTTTGGGGACAGTCGCTGTCTCAGGAGGCCTGGCCAGATCTTCTCCAAACCTCAGCCTGCACGAGCTGCTAGGAAAAGGAGTATTAACCCTACAGAGCCCCCAGCACTGATGACCCCTGTGCATGCCCTGGACTGTCCCCAGCCCCCTGTGCCAACCCCAGGGCCACCCACCCTGCCGTGGGGGCTGGGCAGAGCTGCTCTGCACAGCAGCTCACGCTCATGGACTTGGAGGACAAGGCTTGGGAAAGCAGCAGGGGAACACACAGAGATCCCAGCATCAGCAAAACATGGATTTCCCTGGTGGTCTGAGGGAAGCTGGCTATTCCCAAAACACTGGCTCCCTGTGTTTTCCTACAAGCCACTGTTCTGGGTGTTGCCATGTTCCTGCCATTGCTGTTCCACGACCACAGGTAAGGGGAGAGCCAGGTGACAAGCCCTGGAGTTGTCCCAGAGCAGCATCCAAGCTGAAGGAGAGGTGGGATGATGCCCACCATGGAGGGCATGGCAGAGGCAGAGCCTCCACCCACGCTCCTGGCAGGAGCTGATCCTGCTCCTGTCCTCCTCCCCGGCCGAGCTGTCAGCACATGGGCCCATCCTCCTGCATTCCTCCTGTCAGCCCATTGTTTTAATCCTTGGAACTGTTTTATTAAGTCACCCCGCTTCACTCACTCAGCAGTGTCTCCCAGAGAAACAAGTGGAAACTCTCCAATGGCGCCACTGGAAAAGAAAAGGAAGGTGAATAACAGCTCGAAGGATTAAGGGAGCAGCTTCCAAGAGGAGTGAGTGAAGGTCAGCCAGGACACAGACAATGGCATCGGAAGCACGGCTGGGAATCTTGGTGGCACAGCAACCCAAAAACCAGCTCAGCTGCCAGGTTTCAGAACGGCTCCAAAAAAGGCAGCAGAGACCAGGGAGTACTTGACACACTGGTAATGTGGAAAAACAAAATGAAACAAATCCAGGCGGATCACATGCGGTAAGAGCAGAGTGAGAAAAGTTCTGGCTCAGCCCCGACACCTCGAGTGTTTGACTAGACTGCAGCCTCCCTTCCCAGCCCCCTGAGGGTACACAGCCAGAATTCCCAAAATCAGGAGAGAGCCAGGCAGGGGCAAAGCTCACTCGCAATGGAAAAGTGGTGGTAAAAAGCCCAGGATCATCCTTCTTTTCCCCACTCCACTCCAAAGCCATGTTTTCCAAGCAGGATGGGCTGCAGAGGGAAGCAGACAGCTGGAGTTCAGGATGTTTTGCAGGGCAGGGAGGGAGATGCCAAGCCATGGGCAGCAGTCTCCACTGGGATGCAAGTGTTGGACACGGTTGGATGTGACCATTTGGATGGCAGACAGAACAAACAAGGAACCTGGCAGCTTTTTGGGAAGTCTGTACGGGACATTTTGTCCCATTCCCCACATTTCTGGCTGACTTGGTCCCTGATGTGAAGGTTTCCTTCACCAGCAGTTCTTGCAGCAAGGATTTCTTCAAGAAACTAAAATTTTCAGAGAGGGAAGACAAGCCTTGCAGAGGAGAGTCCTGATCCCAGATAAGCCTAAACAACTGATGGATGTGGTGTGCACCCTAATCTGTTTGAATCTGGACTTATTTTTGGCTTATTTTTGTGCAGTGGTAAAGTGATTCTGCATCAGGGATTTAAATGCTGCAAAGGGATCTGTAAATGTTTGGGAAAAAATCAGTGTTCTCAGGAAATAATCTCAACACTGTTCATTAGTACTAAAATCAGGCCTAGGAAGGTGTTCTGTCCATTCCCCATTCCAAAAACATCTTAGGAGCACTTGCCAGGCAGAACAGAGCTCTGATTTGTATGAGAAATGCCTGACTCACAGATCTTGGCAGACAATTATCAAAGATTAAGATATTTAAAATCTAGAGGCATTTGAAACCAAAATATTGTTCTGACCCAGCTCTAACACCTAAATAAACAGTGACCACGCTGGCCTTTTACAGGAACGAGTGCTCAGTGCACAGCCAGCACCTCTGATAATAGGGCCTCATGGTTTAGGTTCTGCCAAACTGCTGAGGTTTCACAGAAGAAAAAAAAAAAAAATCCAAAAAGATTTAGATACAATTCCAAAAGAGTCTAATCATCACATCTTTAAACTGGCAGCTCTCCTGCTGTTGCTCTACCTACCTACAAGTAAACTCCTCGTATTGCTCAACTTCAAATCAGCAATGTTTTCCTGGAAAGGCCAGATCTTAAATAAGTGTCAAATAAGTGAACGTTTCCCTAGCTCTGTGGCCTTTGAACATCCACACACAGCCCACCACAAAGTAAAGGTCTAATTACACCTTCCTGAGCTTCCAGGGCCACGCCTCCGGGCTGAGAGCTCCCGAGGGCCGGGGGCCGGGCCGGTGCCTCCCCATTGTACGGAGCACGCTAAGGCAGGATGCTGCCGCCGGCCAGGATGTGATTCAGCGTCCTGTTTTGAACGCTTCGTGAAGTCAGCAACTTCTGCCCCGAGATCTCCCACCAGAGCTTGTCAAGGCTGTAATGAGCTGCTGTCCCCACAAATAAATCCTCAAGGCAGCTGCTCCCGTGTTCTCCTTGCCCTAAGTCTGGCACCATGGACACGGCTGTGGGTACAAGGTGTTTACTCAGTGATGATCCAGCAAAACATGCTCCTAAATCCCTAAGGAAATCAAGGATCAAAGTGTTAAAAGATCATTTTGGTGCACTAAAATATAATATTAACTGTAAATCAAGTGTATAAAAAATATACATATGTGATATGTGATACAATGGTGAACTGTGATGTGTGTCAGAGGGATAATCATGGAACTATTTAGGTTGGAAAAGACTTCCAAGATCAAGTCCTGCTGTTCCTTCAGCTCTGCCAAGGCCACCACTAAACCTTGTCCCCAAGTGCCACATCCATGCAGCTTTTCAATTCCTCCAGGGATAAGGGATACATCACTGCCCTGGGAGCCCTGTTCCAACACTTGTCAATTCTTTTCATGAAGGAATTTTCCCTGATATCCAAAATAAACCTGCTGTTGCTCTGTTAAGAGTTTGTCTGCACCAACAACTCCTCCTGCTGATCACTGACCTCCAAATGTACATGAGCCCAGCCCTGAAAACCTCTACTTCCCACAGCTGCTCGCACCAGCTCTTAAAATTCGGTTTAGAGGAGCCAAACAAGAACAATTCTTCCCATAACCATCTTCAGGCTTGATCAGAGCCTGGAGATGATTAACTTCCAGGCCCTTCAGTGGTTCAACCTCTATCTCTCTGCAGAAGGTGTCTGAAAACATTCACCCGGCCCTGCAGTCAGGTTGTGATTGGAAAGCCAATAATGGCAAAGATTACAGAATGACTGGCTAAACAAACCTATTTATATTTGGAATTAAAACCAGTGATTATCTTGCTGTGTTTGCCAACCACATCTGAGAATCAGCCAACACTCACAGAGCGAT